TTGCGCCCACAAACATAATATCTTCGATTACGAACATTTTCTCCTTTCGTTTGGACAACTTGGAAAGTTTGGAATTTAATGTTGGTTTAAACTTTCAAGGCAATACTAAACATCGCGGTCTTTAGTAAACAGGGAGCTAGAAGCACGCACGGATGGATAATAAAGTGTACGAAAAGAATTACAAGTGGATGGATGGAAAGCGAGAGATGGACGGAAGCAGCGCCGCTATAAATAGATAGATGGAGCTTAGGACGTAGACAAGCATAAATGACCCAACTACGCCCTAGACTATCAGAAAGTCGAGAGAGAGACTAACACGTAAACGTTCCCGCGAGCAAACGGAAAAATGAAAGACGGCCAAGCAGATGTAGAGGTCGAGGTCGTCTGAGAACAGACGAGTGCGAAACTAAGTGGGTAAGAATAGGAATATAAGCAGGCACGGAGCGCAAAAGAAACAAAAGGACGGATTACAAACTAAGAAATCGCAATTAAGCAATGACGTAGAGGCGGATGGATTGAAAGATGAACGAACCGAGTTCGAAATTAGTAGTTATCGTTAGACAATGTCATGGAAAATCTTTACCTCGGTAATGGATCTTTTCGTTAGGGCAGGGACTAAAGCAACAATAGCTAGATTGGCGAGGACAGATCTGAGAAATGACTTTCGGTAAATGCCACCGACATCCATGATACTTTTACCCAATCTTTCACGAATTCAGGATCAAAACGCCAGGAATGGAACTACCGGCAAAAGCCAATATCGCCGAAGATCCCTAAAACTTGCTCAAGTTCGCAGCATTGACCTGCGAGACGCAACCAGAATTGAACTTCGTGCATGGGAAATTGAGGATGCTCTGCGATCTATCAAATGATCGTAATCTCAGTTCAACAATCGCAAGGCCTGACAGCTCAGGGACAAAACACCAAGAAGCAACATAACAATTTAAAATCACTGACAGCCGCAAGAAAACGGCTTATAATCTACAGTTGTAGCTTCACGATGGTAGCTTAGGGGCCTTGTTCTCCTCCTTTTTCTTTTTATTTAATTATTTATGTTAAGTCTAACGTTCTTTTCTTCTATTTTGTGCTATACTGGTAGCACAAGGTTTACATTTGAGGTCATAACTTGGTTTGTATTCGGCTGATGACCATTGCTGCTCAGTCTTTTGAAATAAAAAAAATTAAAAAGCCGAAAAGACGGAAGCGCCGGCTAGAGGTGCATGAAACGGCCGTAGAATCGTGGGAAGCCTGACGAGGACGCAAGCATATGAAGAAAAGAAAACACCGAAAGACGGATGGTCGCTTACTGAATTAACTAGATTACGATATGTATGTATATATATATGAGATGAGATGAGAAGTGAAAGTGAAACATGTCTGGGAAACATGCGGACGAAGAAACCGAGAGATGCACATACGGAGACTCCCGTCACTTAGCTTTTCGCTTTTGTCTTGCTTGAGTTTAATTGCTTATGTAAATATTATGTATGTAAAGTATATGCATCAACAAAAAACAGATTTTTAGAAATTTTCATTGTATAATACTTAACGCAATGCGGACATGAAGCCTATGCATTGAAGTATTGTTGGAGGAAGACTTTTAATAAACATAAAAGTTGAGGCTGAAAATTTCTCTAGTAGTAGTTTGCTTAACCATAACTGGCATTTCAACGTTAACTCTTAACGGTGTTTCTGCGTTTCACCAGATGGTTATAAAAATCAAAACTTTTCAAAATTTACGACTTTTTAATGCTATTCTTAGCAGTTTCGGCGCGAAACCTATGAAATAACATACATGTGAATCAGAAGTTTTGCGATAGCGCCATATAATTACAAAAGTTAAAATTGAGAGTTAACAGTAGGATAATAATATAATGCCAACAACAATAATAATTACGTAATTGACCATCGGGTTAATAAAAAAGTAAAAGCAATAACGTAACCTTCTTCTTAAATCAAATAGTCCTTATCTTTATTTGCAATTCCTTGGAATACTAAAAGTTGTAAAAATAATTATAATAACGAAATTTGAAAATAGCACTGAAATATTGCAAAAATAATATAAAAAAAACAAAAAAAAAAACAAAAAAAAAAAATGAAGGCAAAAACAAGATTTGAAAAAATTCCCACAATACAATTTTTAGCTTAGTGCAGTCGTAAGAAAACACCCCAAGGCAACGCCTTCACAAAAGCTTGGCAGATAAGTTGTTATAAATGAAAATGAAAATAACATAAGATAATAATAATAATAATGATGATGATGCAATGGTCATATTATCATCTTCATCATCATTATTATCATCATCATTATTATAATGATCATCATCATCATCATCATCATCATCATCATCATCACGATAATGAAAATGATATTTGAGTAGAGCATAGAGCAACATCAAGCAAATGAATGATGTTTTCTAAACTTGTTGCATTTACGTTTTGTGTTTTAAACTCATCATCATAGTGCCAAGCAGTCAAACATGCAGACAAGCAACCAAGTAAGATACTGTTAATCTTAAGCAACTCTTCTTTGATTCATGCTGTTCAAAAAGGCTGGCAATACAGGGAGCTCCGCCCTGCAGGCATTTCAAATTATGTTAAGGATACTCTGGCCATGTTATACATATATCTACATATATATTTATACATATATATATATATATATATAGATAGATATATTGCATATTAACTCTTTGCTTTTTCTCTTTATTATGCGGTTTTAATAAATTAACATAAAAAGTTTCCTCCATAAGATTTCTCTACTTAAAGAATAGCAAACATAAACGAAATGAATTTCTAAGGAAATTTATCACATTTGTGTTCAAATTTGATCTGAAGAATTCTCATGATTTTGTCATAAAGTTTCTTTTCTGCATGCATAAGTGTTTCTGTATACACAATATATAAAATATATTATTATATACTGCTGTTGATGCTACCACACCGAAACCACCGACTATCAATTAAATGGTAGTAAAATTTTTAATTAATACCTTTCGTTTCCAAACTCAATTCGCTTTCGTTTCCTCTGTGGACATCATGATTTAACATAAATAAATACGTGAATGCGTATCTATATATATATATATATATATGTATTTGTATTTGTATTTATGTTTGAAGTTGAAGGTGATTGATCAAAAGTCCTTTAGTTCTTAGAATTAACCTCAGGTTATCACGTTAGACGGAAGTTAAAAGAAAAACGCAAACATTTCGCAGCGAATCCGAAAAATAAAAACGAAACGAACGCATGTAAAAGTTATGTTAACTTCAAGACGAATTTGATATACCCTTCAAATAAATCCGAATTTCATTCCGCATGAGGAGTCGAATAGGTAAGAATAACGACTATTAAGTTCAGTGTTTGCGGCTTCAAATCCCAAATGCCATAGAGTTTACTCTGGTCGTGGCTATAGTGAGTGCTTAGTTGGTAAATACTTAACATTTGGATCGTCACCGTCTTAGTTGAATACGGAACGACCCCTAAGTGATTTGTCATATCGAAAAAGCAAAATAAAATCAATTGTTGTCCAAGATTTGTCAATCAATCAAGACTTGTTACATTGATGAATAAAGGATAAACAGAGAGCTAAGCAAGGCATAGCTGGAGTACATTCACTAGTGAATTGTGAAGCCTGGGAATATGCACTCAACGTTCTGTAAAGTTAACAGATTTCTAGCCAGACTGTTACTATCCATGCGTTTATGTTTTCTAAAATTGTTCCAATTTTATCCAAAATTATTATTACCGCTTTTCGACTGTTAACCTTGAAAATGAATCAGAAGGTAACTTTTTTTCAAAGTTTTCCAATGAGATTAAACCTGCCTAAATACTGGAAAAAAGAAAAAATAGTACAGTGAGACGCGCGCCCCCATTAAACACCCTCTGCCACTTTGCTTAATACAATTATTTATATAACGATTTTTTAAATGAAGATGTTGCATGATAACCGAAGAAGAAGTTAGTCCCATCCACGTAGCAAATTTCTTTAAAATATTTTAAAAATGATCATCTGCAGATTGAACACAAGAAAAGAGGGTGACAGACGGACAGACAATCTTAGATCGGTTCGGATATTGACTGTGCTGAACAACATTAACTGAATTTACCTTAACCTTGACTTATATTAAAAATGTTGTAGGGCATAGAATAAGATGTATATGCAGCGGTCAGAATGTTAAATGGTCGAGAGATCGGCCGATTTCGAACACAAAACTTTGAATAACTCAAAACAAGACTCCTTCATGGGCATCGATAAATTAAAATTTCAAAGAATATTTTTCAAAAAAAAAAAAAGAAGTTCACTCGTCATTCAATTCTCGCAAATATGGCCCAAGCAGAAAAGAGGCTTTGATTGGATAAGACTATCCTATAGCCTATAGTAAGAAGAGCCACTATGCCCGGGCTTTTGAGCTGTGGACCATGTTGTGCTTTTGATTGCTGTCTTGCGCTAGCTACAGTGGGTCCTCGCTCGCTAACATCATCGCACTTACTAGCTCAGACTTGATCGACTGTGTTCTCACTACAACTACGATCAAATTAGGAAAGTAGGAGAAACAAAGTATTATAGCAGAACGAGAAAATCATTTCGGTCTTGTTTAAGCAAAAAAGTTGCTACTCATTGCAAATAACAACATTCGTATTGATTTTTATTTTTGACCCCAGCAACGAGAATATACGCAAAATATTCTTAACAAACCAACCAGATAAACGCGCACTTAAAGAAATATACATAGACGATCCGAAATATATTCAATTGTGATAAATCAAAAGCATTTTTTTGTTCTCGTACAACAACATCTAATAATATTTAGGTTTATAGTATTACACTTGTAAACAGTGCATTAAATGCATTAATTTCTTAATGATCACCATAATCACATAGATGTTGTTCTTAAGTTTACAAAAACATTTCAAATTCGTAATTAATTTTAATGAATTTTTGCTTTTAAAAAGTGGCCTAAATGCTTTAGGAATTAAATTCTTTGTTATTACTTACCTTTCAATCGATTGAGATTAAGGTGCACGGCATCTTCAGAAGCGGCAGGTGCCAAATCTGTCATTTTAGTGTTACTAGCACTGAACGCCGATATCGTGTCCACCAAATTATTTGATGTCGTTGTTGCTGATAAACTGGTTGAAGTTTGTATACGATTAAGTTCGTTCGATGTTATGTTGTTATTTCTTATTTGGTTGGCGTGCGTTGTCTCATTATGTTGATGATCTAATGAAGCAATGTTGCCTGCGTCACTACTGTTGCTGCTACTGTTAACATGATTCAAACTGCTAACAAAATCACTCAATACGGCCGATAAAGAAGCAGACGACGGCGATGGCGTGATAGCTGAAGGTACTTTGCCCGCTTGATTACACGGTGCCGAATGGGACGAGAAAACAAAATTCATATCAGTCGTTGGCGCCGATGTCAACGTTTTGATCTCTTTATGCGATAATTCCGCTTGAGGCAAGCGACAATCTATTAATTTGTCCATACTCAAGCCTGCATTAATAATCGGATACGTATCCTTTGTATTGATATGAATAGCATTGGCATTGACATTGGCGCTCGCCATAAATGATCTTAACATTTTATTATTATCAAAATAATGTTGTGGCAACATGCTGCCGTAAAATTCATTATATAGTTGTTGAAATTGTTGCTGTTGCTGATGTTGTTGTTGTTGTTGTTGCTGCTGCTGTTGCTGCGCCGTAACACCTGCTAATAAATGCTGCAAATTATTAGCCTGAAATAAATGCGTTGCCGCTAATGGCAAATGCGTTGCCGTTGCTGTTGTTGTTGTTGTTGTTGTTGTTACATTATTAGGCATATTCAGACCAAATATATTGTTCAGATGCTGCAGCGGCGAAGTCAAAGCAGCAGCAGCAGCAGCAGCAGCATTGTGTTGCATCACTTGTTGATTTAACATTAATTGTTGCTGCTGCTGGTGTTGTTGATATTGCTCTTGCAAGCTCTTTGTCTCTGCTATATCCAGTTCCGTATTTAATTTATATTTACTAGCAGAAGGTTTATTCATTGTAATTCCTTTTAAATGATCTCTATGATATTCGTTATGATGTAAATTATGACTACTTGTTATTCTATAACGTAGATAATGATGGTAATCGTTATGTTCCAGTAACATACCGTATTTTATACAATGAGAACCAATTAATTTTATATTTATCGAATAATATTTTATAAACGATATAAGCATAATCGTTTGATATAGAATTTAGATTTCACTAGATTGAAAAACATTAAAGTTTTGTACTCTATCGGGTAAACTGAAAAGAAAAAATTTGAAAAATGTGAAAATTATTAATATACACACGATATAGAGAAAATTAAAATGCGGCTGCTTGATCAAAAATCGACTATCCGATTGAAAGCTTCTTAAGCGGATAAAACAAAAAATTAAACGCATAAGAAAGAGGTATCCGATCCGGAAAACCGATTACTAAATAAAAGTTGAAGCTCATTCAAAGAGTATTGAGGCCATACTCCATACTCTCTGAGCTTGCAACTTGAAATCTGAAGAAGGGTATCGCCAGTCAATATCATTCACAAGATATATGTCTTACATATATACATGTTCAGCTACTTGTTTTTACGATATATACATATATATATGCATGCATACATATATATATATATGCTTCTCTCAGAAATTCTTATTTCCAAATTTTTTTTCCACTTTTCTATATTTATTATAAACATTGTGTTGTGCCGAAGAAATGTAATTTGCGGGCAACTTTATTTTCGCAAATGCTGGTGATGAGCAGTGGATGCGTCGCGACAACCTAAAACCCAAATAATGACAACGCAGACTAGGTGAACCATTAATATCGACGAAAAAGATGAATATCCATAACGGCCACAATTGAGGAGACCATCCAGGTATAATGGATGCTCGGACGAAATGCGACTATTACCACCGAAAAACAAACAAAGCAACAACTCATATAATTGCGACGAAAGTCAGAAGCAATATAACCAAAGTCATAATGTCCTAAGTTTTCCATATGAAGCAACTCTGTTCGATGTAGCTAAACTCACGAATATTCTAATTGAATTGCCTTACTCTCGCCGCCGTTACCAGCAATCATTACTCCTTAAGATTAACACGACCTTAAGTGGAACAATTATTGTTTTTTGTTTGTGATCTAAATTCATTTATGCATCCAAACAAGCGATATATACCAACATAAGATATTACACGCAGTTCGTACCTACGACTTTGACGTACGACGAGTACAAGCACTAAGAGAGTGGGTCACGATCCACAATTAGATATCACTCTACACCACTCTACAATTATTCATTTTAGTACTTTTCAAAATAAGGCGTTGTATTGAAAGTTGTCAAAAAGTAGTCCGATCGCAACTATTTCTAACAGTGTTCATGCTTAAGCCACAACCGTATGAAATTTGATCAATATATCCTGTAGGCTGAACGCAAGAAAACAAACGAAAAGATAAGTCTTCACTAAGTTCTTGTACGTGTTGCACAAACCTAATGTACTCTAGTGGTGTTGGGGGGTCAAAAAAGCCCCTTCAAAATGTAAGTAAATATTTATTTTCGCTGATGCAAATTGTGCATGAACTGCTGTCTATAGCTCGTAAAGAAATCGGAAGTGATACTGCGGTTACTGGAAAGGAATGGTATTCGCTTTGGTTTCTCAGCGCATCTCTGGCGCAAATATTGTTCTCGATTCGATCGTTCATGCGTAAGGGCTAGTATTGCTTTCTTCTGGTGGAGAGTTGTGAGGCACATCGTGAAAGGGTGAATTTTGACACCATGACTAACTCCGTATTTATATAAATTTTTTTGTTCTCAGCCTTAACTGTTAATTAAAAGTTAAGTAAAAACATTTGTTTAGAAAGGCAATCAAATCAATTAATCAAAAAGTTCAAGGTAAAAGTTCAATCAGCCTCATGAGTAACATTAGGGTTAAATAAAATTAACTCAGCTTTTAAATTTATATTAAAGTGAAATCTTATTCTTATCTTATTATTCTCTTCAACTGATTTATCTCATAAAACGTTCATTGTTTGAGTTGGCAGTTGTCAGGAGACACTTTTGAGAACTTAAAATGAATTGCATATCAAAGGTATTTTGCATACTTTAGTTATTGTAAAATTTTCTTAGAAAACAATTTAATACTTAATACTTAGGTATAGTAAGGAAAAGAAAAAAAGTAAAAAATAAATAAAAATCGTTTTGCTTTACAATACACGATTACGTTATCTCTTTTAAAAACGATTTTGTTTACACAAATACAAGAAACGTCAATAACGACGACAGAACGGTACTTGTTTTCCATAAATTTTCATATTAAAAACTACACTACGAGTAAATCATAAAACTAAAAAATAATAAACCGATATAATGTATTTGTATATACAAATATCTCTACAGGTATATGCAATATGCAAGTGTGTATATAAACATACGAAAGTGAATTTGTGTGAGTGTGTGCATATTATTGATATCATAATTTTATGTAAATATAGATAATTTGTATAAATAAAAAGTTATTTAAAGCGCTTAATAAACAATGTATTCGGTTATCCGGAAAGTCATTTCGTTTTTTTTTTTTTTCTCCGCCATTAATGGAGTTAATTGTATTTTTTTCACAAATAAGTTCGCACTCAAGACTTTTTATTCATTACATGTCTTTATACCTGATGACGAAAGGCTTCTCTTTTTAAAAAATTTCGCTTGACAGCTGCGCAATAACTTGGTATGGTATGCCATCAGACATGGGAAGTACAAAGCAATAGTTTTCCGATATATTTCACTTTTTTAAAATTGAAAAGATGCAAACGCTACTCAAGCAAGAGAAAAACTATCGCATGTGTATGGAGTAAATTTGCCGAAACTGGTTCGTAAAATTGCTTTTCGGCAATTTTGACATGGAAGACGCTTCACGTTCTAGAAGGCCAGTCGAAGCTGATGTCGTTAAAAGAAAAAATTTGACTAATAATTGAATTCCACTCTTCAGTGTTACATAAAAGAAAATCATCTTCAATTCGGACCCAAAAAAAAAAAAAAACGAAATGACTTTCCGAATAACCCTATATATATATATATATATATTATGTGCAAGTGAATGACAGTGCAAGTGCATGAATACGAAAGTCTTTATAGAAGCACATACTATTTCTTAAGAATCGCTAATAAACAAATAAATTGTTACCTTTGCATTAATTGCGTTAATATTGCGCATGTAATCAATTTGTTAAACGATAATAATATAACGATAGAATTGAGGACAAGTGTTAGTCAATTATTACAAATTGCTAAAATAAATTTGTATTATACAATGTTAACATTAACGTGACCTTCGGGTTTCCCTGTTTGTATTCTTAAATTCTTGGGCTTAATGAGGGCCAAAAGTAGCACATATCTGTCCGCAATGGTTTGTCGTTTTTTATTGTCTAAATCTGTAGTCAATTAATTTTACTTAAATTTATAAACTTGAGGTTGAAGTTCAAACGGTAACCAGGCAGCTGATGAAATTACACATTAATAATTTTACAAAATTTTTCACACAACAACAACAAGTTAATTAATACCTTATACTACTCTGTAATGATTCATATATATCGACTTCTCAAAACAAGACGATATAGGAGCAGAGGTCAAAAAACTATTCCGATCTGAACCATTTTCAATGATGTTGTTTCCAAGGCCAAAACATACCCTCCGACCAAATTTCATCATTATATCTCATAAATTGCGCTTTGCCGGTAGGGCACAAGTAAACGAGGCAGGTGGACACAGATGGCGTAGATAGACAAGCTTAGACTGGTGCAAAAAGTGATTCTGAATCGATCGATATAATAGAGAGTGAGTGGGTCTATCTCAAATTCTTCTGAGTGCTCAACATCCACACGAACTTAATATATGTTTATATTACAAGTAGTGTAGGGTACAAAAATGTAACTCAATTTCTTCGAAATCTGCAGAAAAGCAAAAGAGAAGTTAGTTACATTATCCTCCTGTTAGATCTGGAACAAACTAAACTATTTGATCGAAGCAAATTGTTTCATTCCTTTTATTTTGTTTATCATATAACATAATCGTTTTGAATGCAGACCAATTTCCAATGTTGCCATTGGTCTATCACAAAAGTGTAGAGGTCAACAGATGGACCGAACTAACTTTCACTGTAATCGAGATATCTTAATGATCATTTGTTCTATTTTCAGAACAAAAATTTGGAAACTTATGTGATTTATTTGTTGTACTTTATGAGGAATAATCAAAAAACACGAAAGGCGAAGGTGTTCACAGCATTTGTTGCATAAGTCTGTAGGTGTCGTAAATGTATCCTTTCACAGGTTGAAGTCATTTTCAAATTTTTTTTGCCAATTTGTAGGTGATATCTCCATTTTTACGCAGGAGAGAACGTTTACCATAGATACAACATGGTTGGATAGACGGACAGACAGACATGCTTAAAACGATACAGAATTTAGATGGTTACACGATGACCAAGAATATATCCGTTTGGGTGGGGTCTCTGCAGTTTCCTTCTGGGCGTGGCAAACGTTCTCACACAATGGATGGACCTCTGATTTTTCTTCTAACTTGTTAGCCGGATTTTGAAAACCATATTTTCTTAATACTTTCTTTAATATATGATATATTTTTTTGTTTAATATATCACAAGAGGAAAAGCCGTTTACTTGTAGCCTTCAGTAGGTGGAGGATAGATAGGCAGCTCTCTTCAACCAGTACAAAAGTCAAAGATAGTTTTTATTACGTGCATCGTTATGTACGTATCATGTTATTATATTTTATATACAAAGTGGTTCTAAGGGCGATTTCGATAGAGGTAAGCTGTGAGGGCGGGCAAGCATAGATAAGGGCTGAATCTGAGCTGATCACAAATCTATCCTTTCGTCAACGCTTACCTCGTGCATAGGGTTTAGCTTTCGTGCGATTGTAAAGATGGCTCGGAATGATGAATATTTCAAATATTTGGATTCTCCTTAACGGCCGAAAGCAAAGCAGTTTATACTGATTTTCAAAAGGAAATTTATAACAATGAAAAGGAACAATTTGGAAAGTAAAGCTCAGAAGATACTCATGAAAGATATCAGAGATTTAATGAAGGATCCAGTCTGTGGAAGGAGAGTTAACGAAAGATTTAATTTAGGTCTAAAGAACTTTGGCTTAACATGTAAGCCAAACAAAGGCATGGTTGT